TTTCACCAGTCATTTTTTATAGGAAGGATTCTGTTCTGGGCCCCCATCATCAAGGTGAACCTGGCCATGCAATTACCTGCTTTGATGACAAGCCTGGGGCTGAGCTGGGTCAGGGATTTGAGTATCCGCCTGCTGTCTCACAACATCAGGCAGTAATCCTTTTTAGACTTGCTGGCATGGATTTCCCTCCAAGTTGACTTGGCATAATTATATTTTTTTCAAACCATAATGTATTGGAGCTATTTAAACTCTGGTGCTTATATAAACTGGGTGAAATAAAATACTAATAATATCGAGAAGAATATTTGAAAAACCCATTTTTAGGAGAGTTTTATCTCTTGTTTTATTCTTTGCAATTAATTTATAATACAAAAGACCTCCACCATTTGAACAACACTAATGGATTTTGCTTCAACAGTTTTCAGCATAAACCTTCCTTTGTGAGAACTGGTAAACAGTAGATCACTTTATAGAAATAAGGAATATCAATGAGCAAGAATTACTTTCTTCTTATTTTTAGTGGATTTTAATTTTAGTAAAAGAAAATTCTTCCAAAGAATTTGGAAGTTTTATACCAAAATCAGCAAAATTGGCCCTTAGTTGTCAATAATTGGTGCTCGGCATCTCTGTCAAAGCAAGACCTAAAACAGGATAGGCATATCTACAACACAATTTTGCCTTCAAAAATTGAACTCTGCTGGGCATGGTGGCACACACATGTAATCACAGTGGCTTGGGAGGGTGGGGCAGGAGGAGGATTGCAAATTCAAGGCCAACCTCACTATCTTAGAAGGCCCTCAGTAACTTAGTGAGACCATGTCTCAAAATAAACAATAAAAAGGGTGGGGGATAAGTGTTATTGGATTCAATCCCTGGTACAAAAAAAGGTGGGGGGGTGTACTAGGGATGTGATTTAGTGGCAAAGCACCCTTGGGTGCAAACCCTAGTACTAAAAAAAAATGTATTTAACTCCTACTTGAATAATTCCACTTGAAGAACTTCTAACCTTGAAATATATAAACAGAAACTTATTGATATATAGGGAAAGTTAAATAAATCCATAGTTATAGTAGGAGATTTTAACACAATTTTCTTTAAAATGGAAAAATCAATTGATATAAACATTCAGGAGAGACTCCAAAATAGCTCAGCATATTAAGAACCCAGAAAATTTTCCTATACCCATGAAAAAATAATGAAAAGATTCCAAATGCCAAGACAATGCAGTTATTGAAATGTTAAAGATGTTAAAGTAGCTATAAAATGCTATAATAAGCCAGGCACAGTGGCAAATGCCTGTAATACCAGCACCTTGGGAGGCTGATGAAGGAGGATTGAAATTTGAGACCAGTTTCAGCAATTTAGTGTAAGACCTCACCTCAAAATAATAATAAAAAAGACTGGGAATGTTACTCAGTGGCAGAGTGTCCCTGGGTTCAATCCCTAGTGTGCTCCCCCACTTGAAACACTAAAACAAATAAGGGCAAAATTTTTTTGAAGTAAATGGAAAGACACTCATCAAAGAAATAAAATATATAAAGAAGAAACAAATTTTAGATCTGAACAGTGTAACTAAAATAAAAACTCACTGCATGATTTCAAAAATAGAACAGAACTGACAGAGGAAAGAATCAGTGATCTTAAAAGTAGATAAGAATAATCCAATGTGAGCAAAAGAGAAAATATTTTTTTAAGTGAGCAGGTCCTGGGCTGAGGTTGTGGCTCAGTGGTAGAGCATTTGCTTAGCACGTGTCAGGCACTGGGTTCGATCCTCAGCACCACATAAAAATAAATAACAAAATAAAGGAATTTTAAAAATGAGCAGGTCTTTAGGAACAGGAGGAAGAATACAGGGTAGAAAATATTGAAGAAACAGTAACTGAAAACTTTTCCAATTTGGTAAAAGATATAAATTTAGAGATTATAGAAGTTCAGAGAACCTCTAGAACTACCCATAAAATTTAAAAATGATAAATTAAACTGTGTTAAAGTTAAAAGTATTGGTTAGGAATAAGACATTGTTAAGAAAATAAAAGTTTGATGCAAATTTCACCCCTATAATCCCAACTACTTTGGAGGTGATGGCAGAAAGATCACAAGTTGGAGGCCAGCTTCAGCAGCTTAGTGAAACCCTGTTTCAAAATAAAAAAGAGGGCTTGGAATGTAGTTCAGTGGTAGAGTGCCCTAGGGGTCAATATCCAGTACCAAAAATAAGAAATAAAACTAAAAAGACAAGTTACAGCTTAGAAAATATTTGTATGTTTTGTATCCAATAAAGAAATTGTAGCTACAATATATAAAGAACTCTCAAAACTAAATAATAAAGAAACAAACCAATTTAATAAAAAGGACAAAGATTTGGACAGAAGCTTCACAAAAGAAGATATATGTATGTCAAAATAAGCACATGAAAATGTGCTCATCATCATTAGCCATTACAGAAATGTTAATTCAACCCACAGTAGGATGCTGTGACACACATATTAAAATACATGGTTTAAATTTTTAAAAAGTTTGATCATACAAAGTATTAGTGAGAACATAGAGGAACTAGGATTATCATATACAGTGGAACAAGCACTTCGGAAAAAAAGTTTCACTGTTTTGAAAAGTTAAACATGCCTATGTTGTTTCAGCTATTCCACTCCTGGAACAGAAAATATAAATCCATACAAACAGTTATACATGAATCTTTATGGCAGTTTTCTTTGTAATAGCTATATCTATCAGCAGATGACTGAATGAACAAATAGTTATATATGGATAAAAAAATGTGGAATATTACTCAGCAATTAAAAGGAATGAGCCAAATGAACTGTTGATACACACAACAACATGGATGCTTCTCAAAATAATTATGCTCAGTGAAAGAAGATAGACACGAAAGAGTAATTTCTTACTCTGGAATTCCATTTATATAAAAACGTAAAAAATAGAGTCCATACACAGAAAATATCATCTGTTTCTTGGAAATGGTGGTGCGGGGGGTAGGGGAAGGAGGGATTTCCTAGAGGAATGTGGAAATTTTAGAAGATTATGAATGAATATGTTCACTATTAATTGAGGTGATAATTTATCTCATATATATATATATATATATATATATATATATATATATATATATAATCTTACAAAATTGTACCCTTTAAAATGTGAGGTTTAGGACTGGAGATGTGGCTCAGTGGTAGAGTGCTTGCTTAGCATGCACAAGGCCCTGGGTTCAACCCCCAGTAACTCCCACAAAAAGTATGGTTTATTGGAGGTCAATTATACTTAAAAAAGAAGGAAAATAGAAAACAAAACCCCCAAAGACTAGGACCAAATCATGAAGGATTTTAGAGAATAACTTCTCTCCCTCTGTGGCACAATTAATGTAGTTGTCCCTTGGAGATCTGTGTATGTATACAGTTCAACCATTGAGTATATAATAAATTTATTTAATATGCATAATTCAATCACTTAGACTATACATTGAGTTCTGAGGTATATTTTTAATATCCCCTTCTCAATAGGATACATTTTTTTTTATTGGTTGTTCAAAACATTACAGAGCTCAAGACATATCATCTTTCATACATTCGACTCAATTGGGTTTTGAACTCCCCAAATACATAATACAGACTCACTTCTGTTACATACTCACATTTTTACATAATGGCATATTAGTGACTGTTGAGGATACATTTTTAATAATACACATGAATTAAATAATCACATTCAGAAAAAAACGGGGTAAATTTTCTTTTATAGTACATTTTATATTTATTTTAACAAAAAAGTAAGACTTTTTTTTTTTTGATACCAGGTGATTGAATCCAGGGTGCTTAACCACTGAGCCACATTCTCAGCACCAACCACTTCTTAAAAATATTTTTTTAGTTGTAGATGGACATAGTTGTAGTTGGACACAATACCTTTATTTCACTTATTTATTTTTATGTGGTGCTGAGGATTGAACCCAGGGTCTCGCATGTGCTAGGTGAGTGCTCTACCTCTGAGCCACAGCCCCAGCCTTAGAGTCAATTTTTTAAAATGTAGATGTGTATATGTTAGATATTACCATGGGGCCAAATCTTTAAAAGAGATTTATCCAAATTAACTTTCTTGTAGAATAAATTGATTATTAAAACATAAATACGTGGGCTGGGGATGTGGCTCAAGCGGTAGTGCGCTTGCCTGACATGCGTGCGGCCCGGGTTCAATCCTCAGTACCACATACCAACAAAGATGTGTCCGCCAAAAACTAAAAATTAAATGTTAAAAAAATACAAATACTTTAAAATCAGCTAGTTTGAACCTTGCATGTGTATTATTGAAACAATGTTAATCAGAGCAAATTTTCAATATTTAAACCTGAAGACGATTTGGGGAGGAGAGGGCATTTGGAACTGTTTGGTTATAGTGTTAATAAAAATAAGATTGAGTTTTATTGGGTTTTCTTATTATATTAAATTCTCTATGGACATTGCTTTCCTTTATTGGCTCAGATGGGCAAACTACACCCCCTGCCACTGCTCCACCCCAAGTTTTTTTTAACAAGAAAGTAGTCTAATCAGTATTTTGTTTATGGCCCCAAAACTCCATTATTTTATCCTTGAGGACTGCTGCCAATGATTCTTAATATCATGGACTTTTTGGTCCTTTTGAGGCCCTTCAGTTGCTTACATCATGGAGTAGAGTACATCATACCACTATGACATGGGTGACCCAGAGGTGATTTCTATTGTCTTTTGGAGGGGAGTGTAGTTGTCATATACTACATATCAAACCCTCTTCCCATCTGGGCTCTGGAAAACTTGACCTTGATGTTGCTTTCCACCCTATTATCAAAGCCTTTTTTCTTCTTGTCTCTGGGATGAAGTGTTGAGAAATTTATCTTTCAATTCTCTCCCAGTCCTTATCCCCTATGGCAAGCTATAGACCAGTTGGTCTGGCCCCAAACCTTGAAGAACTCACCACTGCCCCCTGCCTTTCATCCACAGACACACAAACACATCTCCTTTTTGCTTCTGATGGATTTTATTTCAGTTGTTAAATTCCATGATCCCGTTGGCTTCACATTTGGTCTCTATGTGACAGCCCATTTCTCCACAGTTACCTCTGAAGATGCTGCTGCTAATTCTAAGTCTCTGGCCCAGGCTCTGCATTTACTGGCTGCACAGGTTGTGACATGGAATGGCTGGATTCTCCAGTGTCTTTTGCTCCTGATCTGCTGGCTATTCTGCATCTTATTCATTTTGTGGAAACAGATGAATATTGTTGGTCTAACTATTCCCCTAGACCTTCTTGAACAGGAAGGGGATGATGGAGAACATTTTTTCCTGGGATTCCTTTGAAGGTTTTTTTTAGCCTTGGCTGATTTCTCCTGCATCTGTAAGTACAACAAAATGAGTCCAATGGGTGCTGGTTTGGGGGACAAGAAAGGGATTGTGTAGGAAGAGGGGTGCTTCATGGCAGGGGGTGCAGGCTAAGAGGGGTTTGTGCTGGGCAAGGACAGAACTGGGGTCTTATGGGGATCTGTGGGGAAGAGGAGGAATGTGGGTAGGGCAACCTGACCTTGCCACTGGTTTTGGTCCTTTGTTGAGAGGAGATCTTCTTTTCCTTCTTCCCTTTGGTTTTTAGGCGTAACTGTTCTGTGCTTGCAGTTGACTGTTCCATATTAGGCTTCTCTGATATGCAGGTTTCCTTAACAATGTTTCAGCCTCCCAATGATCCACCCCAGTCCCAGTCCTTGTTATATATGTCCTCCCCTTGGTAACAAGGGGCTCCACCCTTCAGCTTTGTTTGGTAAGCAAGGAATTTCCCTAGCCAATGGTAGGCCAGGAGTGGCTTGGACATCACAAAGCACTGCTCCTGACACTTCTGTGGGGTTGGGGGTGAGATGCTGGGGAGGCCAGGATGCTGTAGCTGGAAAAAGGGATGTTTACTCAACACTACTTAAAGACCCATTCCAAAATGACTTGTTAGTCCCTGCTCATTTCCCCATGTTCAATTCTGGTGAGTCACATGGCAAAATGAAGGTGATTGCTCTAAGACATTCCTCATGGCTACCTCCCATTCATTGGTTCTTTCTGTTCTCCACACCCTTTAGCATGACCCACCATTTTATGTCTTACCAAAAAATCCCTCCAGTGTGGCCTTATTTAATTCTTAATGGAGATGTGAATCATACCACTTATCTGCAACAAATTCCTATTTTGGCCCTGTTCGGTATGTTCTGTGAGCTAAGACAGTTTCATCTTTTTAAATGGTTGAGAAAAAAATGAAAGGAGAGTATTTCATGATGTGAAAATTATGTGATATTGAAATTTCAGTGTCTATAAGTAAAGTTTTCTGAGAACAAGATAGACTCATTCATTTAATTTTTTTCTAACTGCTTTCACACTATAACAGAATTGAGTAGTTGTGACAAAAACAATATGGTGTGAAACACATAAAATATTTACTATCTGTACTTTTACAGAAAGTTTGCCACATCCTGCCCTATTCTATCCCATTGACCTATTTGCCTATCCTTATGCCAATACCACACAGCTTGATTGTTTTAATCTTATAACATAAAATTAAGTAGTACAGACCATCTAACTTGGCTCTTCTTTTGCAAGAACCCTTTAGCTTTCTAAGCCCTTCACATATGCACATATAAATTTTAGAATCAGCTTTTCTATTAATGTTAAAGCCTGATATGATTTCATTGTGATGGTGTTGCATTTATAAGTCAATTTAGGATGGATTGAAATCTTAATATCATGACTCAATCTATAAACATTTCTTCATTTACTTGGGTCTAATTTATCTCTGCAGTGATTTTTAACATTCAGTTTGTTTAAGGTTGGTATTATTTCTCCATTAAGTATTTGGTAGTTTTAACCAGTAAAGCCATCCACTCATGAAACTTTCCTTGTGAGAAAGTTTTACAGTTTAAATTAATTTAGGTATTTCACTATTCAAAAATTCTGGTGTGATAGTTTTGGTAAATTTTTTTAAGACTTCTTCAATTTCATCTATATTGCCTACTTTGTTAGCATGAAATTGTACATAATATTCTATTCATATAATTTTAATGTCTGTAGCATATGTAAGTGATGCCACCTCTATAATTTCTGAAATTAGTACCTTGTGTTTTGTGTCTTTTTTTCTTAATTACTTTTAGCTAGGCTTTTATGAATTTTATTAATCTTTTGAAAAATGGGGCTTTCTTGATTCTTTTCTGTATTGGTTTGTCTTTTTCTTTTCATTTCTTTATTATTTTTTATTTTCCTACTTAAAATGGAATTAACTTGCTCTTAATTGTATAATTCTTTAAAGTAGAATCTTATTCACTTTAAACCTTTATTGTTTTCTAATGTAAAAATAAAGCTATTAATTTCCCACTCAGGACTGCTTTACCTGCATCTCACAAATTTGATAATTTTTTTAATATACTTTGACTTATCTTTTAATTTCACATGTGATTTCTTTTGTATCCATGAACTATTTAGAAGAATGTTTCTAACTTTCTTGGGGGAAATATTGGAGGATCTTCTAGGTACACTTTTGTTTTTGATTTCTAATTTAATCCTTTGTGGTCAGATAATATATTTCATAATTTAAATATTTTAAAATATATTGAAACTTGTTTTATTGTCCAGAATTTGGTCTAGCTTAATCTAGGTCCAAATTGCTTCATGGTAATTTTCAAATATTATACATCCTTACTCATTTTTTACCTATTTGATTTATCAAATATTAGACAATAATTGGAATCTCCAACTATGATTTATAGATTTGTCTATTTTTCTTTTTTTTATAAAATTTTGCTTAATGTATTTTGTTGTTCTGTTATTACTTGCATACTGATTCAGGATTGTTTTATATTTTTGTTGCATTAACTAACCTTTGATCATTATGTAATGATTCACTCCTTATATTGAAGTCTATTTTATCTGACATTAGTGTATAACCACAACAGCTTTATTGTATATCTTATCCCACCCTTTCACTTTGAACCCAGCTGAGTTTTTGTATTTCAAGTACACTTCTTATTAAGAACATATAATTAGATATTGATTTTTTTATCAAGTTCATCAACCTCTGTCTTGTTGAAGCGTTTAATGCATTTATAGTTAATGAAATTATTGGTATGGCAGTTTGAGCCTACACTGTTTCTATTTGTTCCCTCTGTTATTTGTTATATTATTCCTTTTTGGTCTTCTTCTGGGTTGAATGTTTTTTGTATTTCATTCTGTTTTCTCTACTGGCATTTTAGTAACAGCTTTTTTATAGTAGTACCACTTTTCAGTTGTAGGGCTTACACTATACACCTTTAAATTATTACATTTTATACAGAAATAATAATAATAATATACCATATTTAAAATGTCATTACCAGGGGCTGGGGATGTGGCTCAAGCGGTAGCGCGCTCGCCTGACATGCGTGCGGCCCTGGTTCTATCCTCAGCACCACATACAAACAAAGATGTTGTGTCCGCCGAAAACTAAATAAATAAATACTAAAATTAAAAAAAAATAAAATAAAATATCATTACCATACATAAAATCATCTAGATTTTTTTCTTGTGTTATTGTCTAGGAATTTTTTAGTATTGCATTTTACCTTTATTTCCATAGTGAAATTTCGGTTAATTTTTATGAAGGGTATGTGGTCTCTGTCTACCTTTGTTATTGTTGTTGTTGTTATTTTGCATGAGGATGTTTATTGCTCCAGCATCATTTGTTTAAAAGACTATCTTTTTTCCATTCAATGTATAATAATGTGTCTTTTTTTTCTCTCTGTTTTTTAAGATTTTTTTTTCATCTTTGTTTGCAGCAGTTTGTCTACAGTGGGCTTAAGTGTGGTTTTCTTTTGAGATTTCACTAAGATTCCTAGATCTGTGAACTGCTGGTTTTGACCAAACTTTAGATATTTTTTTCTGACTTGTTCTCTTTGCTTCTCTTTCTGCAATTACAATTATGTGAACCTTAGAGTGTTTAATTTTAGATTCTTTAATTTTGTGGCAAAATAATCAAGCTTCTTAATTTTTTCAATTTTTTTCTCTCAGTTTAAGTTAGAGGATTTTCACTGACCTATTTTCAAGTTCACTGGTTTTTATTTTTGTTCTGTTCCAATATGCTATTTATATCTTCCAATAATTTTAAATCAAAAACTGCATTTCTGTTTTAGAACTTCTATTTGGTTATTTTTATAGCTTCTATAATCCCTCCCAAACTTCCCCACTTTTCAATAATTATGTACATATTTTCCTGTATACATGTTTTTTTATTGAGGTAAAATTCACAAAATGTAGAATTACCTATTTTTTTAATATGTTGATGGACCTTTATTTTATTTATTTACTTATATGTGGTGCTGAGAATTGAACTCAGTGCCTCACACATGCTAGGCAAATGCTCTATCATTGAGCCACAACCCCAGCCCCAGAATTACCTATTTTAAAGTGTATAGTTCACTGGCATTTAGTACACTCACAATGTTTGAAACCATCTCCTCTATTTAGTACCAAAATATTTTCATCATTAAATAGAAACCTGTACACAGTCATTTCCCATTCCTTCCTCCCTGAGCACCAATAAATCACTACACTTATTTCTGTCTCGATGGATTTGCTTATTCTAGATTTTTTCATATAAATGGAATCATCTAATACATGATGTATAGCTTCTTTCACTTAATTTAATATTTTTAAGGTGCATATATTTTGTATCATGTGTCAGGGTTGTCTTCCTTTTTATGTCCGTGTAATATTCTATTATATTAATGTACCACTTCTCATTTAACCATCCGTGAGTTGATGGAAATTTTATTTCTTTCTAGCTTTTGATTATGCTATATATGGTGTTGCTATGAATATTTATATGCAAGTTTTTGAATATGTTTCAAATTATTTTTGTATATGCATAGGAGTGAAATTGTGGGGCCACTTGGTGACCCTATATTTAACTTTATGAGGACCTACCATACTGTTTTCCAGAGAAAATGGTACCATTTTCTATGCCTAGCACACATAGTGAAGTCATTCTTTACATTTGACATTTGCACCAGCAATTTATGAGGGTTCCAATTTTTTCCCATCAATACTTGTTATAGTCTTTTTTATAAAAGGCATCCTAGTGGATATGAAAAGATATCTTATGATCCTGATTTTCATTTATCTAATGACTAATGATGTTGAATATCTCACATACTTGTTAGCTATTTGTATATCTTATTTGAAAAAATGACTATTAAAGTCTTTTGCCTATTTTTTTATATTCGCTCCCATTTTTAGTTTGCCTTTTCACTTGCTTAACAGTGACCTTGGACGTATAAAATATTAATTTTGATAAAGTTCAACTTATCTGTTTTTCTTTTGTTGTTCATACTTTTAATATCATGTGTAAAAATTCATTGCAAATTCAGTATCATAAATATTTACTTGTGTATTCTCCTTATATATGTTTTGGTCTTATCCATATAGGGTCATTGATCTACTTTGAGTTAGTTTTTAAGTATGATGTGAAGCAGGATTTTGGCTGTGTCATTAATTTACTTGCTCAAAATAAGTTGGCAGCTGCTTGTGGTTTCTTGGGAGGGAGGAAGGAAGGAAAGAAGGAAGTCTTGGGAACTACCATAAGCTCTGTCTTCTACTTACTCATTACTTTCCTGGGTCTATCCATCTGTCCTTCTTTCCTCCCTTTCTTCCTTCCTTCATACTGGGGATCCAACCGAGGTCCTTACTCATGCTTGGCAAGCTTTCTATCACTAA